GATGTAGGCTCCCTATTTACCTCTCTTATTGTTTCTCTTGCTGAGAAAAAACTTTTCAGTTTAAGTAAGTCCCATTTGTTGATTCTTGTTATTAACTCTTGGGCTATGGGTGTCCTATTGAGGAATTTGGAGCCCGACCCCACAATATGCAGATTGGAGCCAACTTTTTCTTCTATCAGACGCAGAGTCTCTGATTTGATATCTAGCTCCTTGATCCACTTTGAGTTAAGTTTTGTGCATGGCGAGAGGAGGGGATTCAGTTTCATTTTGTTGCATATGGATTTCCAGTTTTCCCAGCACCATTTGTTGAAGATGCTATCGGAGATCCAACATGGCAGTGGGCGCAGAGAGATCAAGTCTCTGACCTCTTCAGCTGCACGGGCATAGGGAGTCGTAGTAAACTGTCTAAATGCTGTTTGCTCAGGATCACTAGGCAATGCTGAGCTGACTTGGATCTGGGGCGAACAGTTTGAGCCTCTCAGAACACACACCGAGCCCATATCGGCTGCATTCAAGCTCTGGTTCGCCTGCTTCTCGTAACTCTGCACTAATGATCCCACTGAAATAACTGGTCAGCTCTTCTGAAGGAATTACTCTCAAAGGAGAAAGGTTCCTCTCAGAGGGAAGAGGGTTGGTGGTTTCTCCTTTCCCACTGTTTTATTGGGACTCCCAGGGAAGTTTCCACAGTCTTGCCCAGAGGCACCTTTTGACTTTTGACTGACAGCAGGATTGCAGTAGACTATTAGTCCCCACTGTGCAGGGCCTACTTCAGGGAGGGGAGATTTTACTGTTATAATGACATGCTAAAGATGCAAGACTGGGTCACCTGCTCCATGCTGACCAATTCTAATTGAAACTTGTTCTTACAGATTCTATGGTTGTGGGGGCTTTGCTCCTAATTATCTTGTCTCCCTGAGAACTGGAATCTGGTCTCTGTGTAGGTTCCCAAAGTCCCCCCTGCAGAGTACCTTGTGTTCTTATCAGCAGGGAGGAGCCTTTCAGCTTGCATTTCTATGTAGAAAGCAGGTGGTTTGCTTAGGAATGTCGCCTATCTTATTGGCTTCAGTCAGGCTGGGCAGAGTGGCTTCAGGCAAGTTGCCTTCAAAAGAAAGCATGTGGGGGTCAGTACCATAGGCCCAGTTTACAGAGCCATCCTGCCAACCTCCTGTGCTGATTGCTCATGTCTGTCTGCCACCTATCAATATGATTCATCCAAAATTGTGGTTAATCCATATATATACACACACGCGCGCACACACACACACACACACATATATATATATGACTTTGTAAGTATCATATTTTTGTCAGCAGATGAATGTCCCTTATTATGTTTTATTTAAGGTAGTATTAGAATAACAGCTAGTGGAAACAACCCATGGTGGGAGGTAAGCATTATTGGGTTCGTTCATCATTTGAATATTAACAATTCACAGAAGTTCTGGTCTCCAAGAGACTTATGGTGATTGTACTTATGGCCCTGCAGACCACTCTCATACAAATATCAACTAGGGCTGCAAACATTTAGTGAGACAAACTATGGATATTTAATAGAGATCTCCATCTGAATAGCTTATAATAAGATGTACAGAATAAGCCTGGTATCTCTACTTCATCAGACTCATTTTATATAGTGGTCTGGATGATCCTGGCCAAGCTTCACTATCAAGGAGGTGTGCAAAACCTTCATCTGGTTATTGATTGAAGAACTGGCACCTTCAGAGCACAGCCCCAATGAACTACACATTAGCGTAGAAAAATGGATAGATTATCTGAAAGAAGCACATTGAATTGATAGGGTTGTTTCCCTTATACAAAATCAGTGTTCCTATGCCACCAATTCCAGTGTACTAGGTAGATTGAAAAAACAGTTGAAAATAAGTACACGAAATTCATAAATAATTACAGCACTGTTGCAGAAGCCTGCTTTATAATTGTCATAAATGACTCCTTGGGGCAGATAATTCACATTGTAATCATCTTTAATAAAACCAGGACATTTTGCCTCTTACAGGAATAGGTTTTAATTTTCCCCTTTTTCTTTTTTTGTCTGAACTCTGGGAGATGAATTTGTAGATGGCTATTTCAATTGCAGCTCTCTTGTTCTTTGAGTTATTGAACCTCAGTTATTGTAATTTTGAAGTCAATTGACTTGTACTTTATTATTTCTTAAGTAAAAGGATGGTTGAAAGATTTATTTGAAATGTGTAAGAGTACTATAGAGTTAATGCTTATGTTTCCTTGAAATAAGTAGGTGCAATCTTTCTAGAAGAATAAATTACTCCTAGTAAGTTACTTCTAGAAGAGTAAATAATTCCAGGAAATATATATCTTTTAAATGCCACTTGTGCGTTATTGTTCCTGTGTAATGAGTGACACCTCAGCAGACTACTAGATTTAGCTGAGTTTGTGAAGAATTCACTTATAAATTCAGGATATGTGGACAGAAGGTAATCGAGAAGTTTTACTCACTTTTACTATTAGTAACAATTTTGGTATTGTACTTTTGAAACTTTTATAAGTAGGAGGAATAAGAAAATAACTAAAGAAGCTGATATTGTTAATAATAGAAACCTAGAAAGAAGTTTACAAAATGTTTTTAAGGAATTAATTTTTGAAATTTATATTTTTAGCTGTTCCTTCTTTCATGTTTCATTTAGTTTTTAAAAAGCTATCTTGGGGCTGGGGATGTGGCTCAAGTGGTAACGCACTCGCTTGGCTTATGCGGGGAACTGGGTTGGATCCTTAGCACCATATAAAATAAAAATAAAGATGTTGGGTCCACCGAAAACTGAAAAATAAATATTAAAAAAATTCTCTCTCTCTCTCTCTCTTAAAAATAGCTATCTAATGAAGTGAATTTAAAGTATTCCAGTATTTTATACAACTTTTTCCTCAAAAATGATAAATGTATTTAGATAGTTCCTTAAATTGATTGCAGTTCTTGACATGTTTTTCAGTTTTGTTTTATAACATGAGTTTGGATGTGAACAGAAAGGCAGAGACTCCATCCAGATTTTACTTCTCTGCTAATGGAACTTCTGACGTGATCACAGGAAGCATTCAAGTATCGAGCAAAAGAGCTAATTGCAGGACACATCAAGCATTTATGCGGGTAATTATTTTTTATTAATGAAAATGTAAACTTCAGAACTGTCCATAGAGATTTATTGCATTTGGTATCTTCTTATAAAATATAGTTAAAAGTTAATGCTCTCTCCTTCTGAGCTGTGGCTTATTGTTCCAGTTGAAGTATTAGTCCCAACCTGAACGGTTCAAAGTTCACTTTTTGCAGCATCTTTATGTCACATTTCTTACACCGCATTATTATTTTAAAATATATGCCTTTTTCCTTCCACAATTGCTGTTTTCCCATCTCTGTTTATTCACTTGTTCAGAAAGGTACAGAGGGAGTAGTTCTGCAGAGCCCCAGATCTATTTGGTGGCAGGTTTTTTAGGGGTGGGGGAGGTGGGGAAGTGGTTTGTTTTTCTTATGACTCCAGCAAAGCAGAATCCAACATGACTGCTTTTGGATGATGCCCCTGTTTCCACGCCAGCTTTGTCAGTGGTGTCAGTGGGAACTTGCACAGTTGTGGCACGGTAGGGATCATCTGTGGGCCAGGATGACAGCTCTCATGATGGTTTGGGGTATGTCCTGCCAAAGCACAGCCGATTTCATGTTTCTTTTATTAAAACACTCATTCCCAAACTGATCATCACACTCCTCACATTGGTCAAATTTTAGCATATGAAGCAGTGCACAGTCTTTTTTTCATTAGGGAATGGTGTACTTCATCAGAAATCTGTTGTCTCCCCAAAGCCAAACTATTCCCCAGAGCTCTTTCTGGGATTTCAAATAGTAGCCTCAGCTTAGAACTTAATTTTCCCTTGGATACTTATTCCAAGCAAATGCAAACAAGCATCAAGACTCCAATACACTGTGCAGTACTAACAGCAATAATCCCCGTGCTGTTTCCTCATTTCCCTTAACGGTTTTTATTGTTTTACTAGAAAAGAGCTATTAGATGGTTCAGAGCCAGAAGTACAGAATGATATTAATGTAACCATCATTTATATGGTAGGAGAGGTTTTTTTTTTTTCCCCCTTTGGCATCCTTCATAGATGTGATTTTACTTAACATTAGTCAATTTTAGAGACAATTGCTGAGACTATTTTAAAGATGATTAAAGGTCCAACATTAAATGTTCACAAAAATACACATCGTGCTAAGTTGTAAAAATGGCAGCCAGTTGACTCTGGTTTACTCAGCCCTCGGTTTCTTGGCATCATTCATGTGGATAAGGAATAATCCATGTTGTACACATTTTTCATAATAAATTTATAATAGAAATTATAATTTACTTCAAGTTTTTCCATTTTGTGGCACATATAGTATTATGATGGGTTCAAAGGAGACAGGCTCAGTCATTGGGGGCTATGTCGTGAATATTAGACAGTGGTACTTAGTGCTGGTACTTATACTAAGCAAGGACTTAAAAAAAAATGTGTTTCTTCTAGTATCGTTTTATCTTCCCACCTTACTTTGCCTTTGGTTGAAATACTTTTAAAACTTCTGTATAGAAAGACAAAAAGTCTACGTCAACCCTTTCATCTGTAGCCAGCCCAAGGAGGATGTAGGAACCAGACACAGTTGCCCCCGTCTTGAGTTCTATAAGGAGCTCTAGCTGCTATCAGGAAGGTGTGCAACTGTCAAGAGTGATCCTTTCCCATCTCCACCAGCATGGCAGCCAGAGGCATTAGGAAGCACTCCTGTGCTTCTGTACATGAAAGCACAGGATGGCTACCTGTATTCTTCTATGTTCTTAATAGTAATAGAAAAAGAAGTTGGATGGTGGTCAGTTTATTGGGCTGGTTCCTGTGTTCCATAAAACATGCCCAGTATCAGATGTCAATATGCATATGCATTTTAACTCAACACCTGTTACAGTGAAATGAGGTAGCATTTGCTAATCATATACTCAGGGCTCCAACCTCCAACTCTCAGAGGATTCCCCTATTTGCTGGTTGGGCATGCTTTTCTTATGATTGCCCCTACTGTGTATACCAATTAAGCTCAACTTTTATCTTCACCCAATTCTATAGATACATACTAAAAACCTACATTGTGTCACAGCCTGAGACATTTACGTATTGCCAATGAAAGAAACATAAAAAGATTATTACCTCCAAGGGGTTTAGTCAAGTGAGATGGGACAATAACATGATAAAAAAGGAAATGGAAGTGAAGAGAACGAAACAGAGGAGGAGGCGTGATGGCATTTTCAGATCTGCTGCTTGGCAGAATAAGATGAGGCCTGAGAACTTATCATTGGGTTTAGCAATGTAGAGGCTTTGGGTGATTATGATAAAAGCATTTCAGAAGGGTAGCAGGGAGAAAGAAGGAAAGGAATGAGAAAAAATTGCAAGTTATTCTTTCAAGAAGTTTTGCTCCAAAGGTGACCAAGGAAACAGGCCACATCTTGACCTTTCCAAAATTGGAAAAAAGCAAGTAGAGTGAAAAGCTGTTTTTTTCCCCCTTTAAGAGATAAAAAAAATAACATGTTTGTGCCAACAAGTATGCCCCCAATATAATTGGAACAAGATTTTTGAGAACGTTTAAGAGGGGTGAGGTTAATTGCACAAAATGAGAGACCAGCTATCTACATAGACTCATGTGTATTTCTATTTATGTGCCAGCAGATGCTGGGCAGATGTGGAGCTAAGGGCTGGAGGTTCTCATACTCTCATTGAAGTGAGAATTAAAGTCATCATCTTGTGTAGGGGTGGGGGAAGTGGTGTTTGGAGTGTGGGAAGAAGAAATACTCTTGGAGAATGGTATTGTTGTCCAATGGTGCTGAGCTCATGGTCACAGTGGCTAGTCAGTATGGCCAGGGTTTCTTTCCCATTGCACAGGAGGTAGATAAAGAGTTTGAATTAGCCAGGGCTGTGGCTTTGCCATGAGAGTGAAGCAAGTAAGAGACAAATGAGTTGAGGGAGTGTGTAAGAGAATGGTCATATCTGGGGTCATGACATTTCATCAGGGTAAAAAGGGAAGGAAGACATCAAGATGCTGAGAAAATAGGAAAATAATTGATTTGGAGAGTCACTCACTGCCTCCCTCCCCCAACTCCCAAGGGATCAGCTAATTGTTGGAATTGAGGGAAGGAGTTGGAAAGATAAATAATACAATACATAAAAAACCTTGGAGACTTGAAAGTGAGAAAAAGATTGATTTTAAAAAAATGTTTTGTTCATAATTCTTTGATCATTTCATGCAAATGGAAGTCTTTCAACTCACATATATTTTTTAAAACCCATTGTATTATTTGATGATGAAGAATTTGGCTGTAGATCTCATTATAAAACTTGAGCTTTTGTTAAATATTTCTTTTAATCACATATTCTCTAGTTTCATGTTAGAATTTCTTGGAAAACAAGTGACAGTTTAAACAATCTAGTAAGTATCTACATCACTAACATGTACATCTTCTGACATGTTATTTTTCAAGGCCTATGTGTTCATTTATCTAGTTGGCAGGCACATTTATTTTCCCATCTACTTTTAATTAAAACAGTATCAAATAGGATTATTTTACATGGTCAAAATTTGTTCTTCATAATGTAGAAGAGAAAGAAGAAATTGTTTTTTTATTGAAAAAGTTTTGCTTAAAAAATACTCCATTGTGGAAGTTTTACATAGTCATAAAGGTAAATGAAATTATTCTATTTGCCAGTAAATGGATGGAGCTATAGAACATCATGGTAGGTAAGTTAAGTAAGACTGAAAGTTGAAGGCCATCTATGTGTTTTCTCACGTGGAAGGCAGAAAGAGTTAACGTAAAAAAGGAATTTCCATGAAAATGGAAGGAAGACCTAAAGAATAGAAGAGTAGTAGAGATTGGGGTGAGGAGAAGGAGGGCAATGGAATTGACCAAATTACATTATATGCATGTCTGAATATACCACAATGTATCCCACTACTTTCTATAATTATGCTGCACAAAAAATTTAAAATTCATCATGGTTTAGTTGCTTATAATTATATTGAGCTTTGAATTTTTTAAAAATTTTATTTATTCTTTTTAGTTACACATGAAAGTAGTCTATTTTTAAATGTATTTATATAAACATGGAGTACATCTTATTCTAATTAGGATCTCAGTCTTGAGACTGAGACTTGTGGATGTATACAATGTTGAGATTCACTATGGTGTATTCATATATGTACATAGGAAAGTTATATCAGATTCATCCCACTGCCTTTTCTATTCCCATCTCCCCTCCTTTCCCTTCATTCCCCTTTGTCTAACCCAGTGAACTTCTATTCTTCCCTTACCATCCCTCTTGTTGTGTGTTAGCATCTAACTATCTGAACATTCAGCCTTTGTTTTTTTGAAGATTGGTTTATTTCACTTTGCATTATAATCTCCAGCTCCATCCATTTAACAGCAAATGCCATAAAAATTTCATTCTTCTTTATGGGTGAGTAATATTTCACTGTATATATAAACCGCATTTTCTTTATCCATTCATCTGTACATAGGTTGGTTCCATAGCTTAGCTGTTATGAATTGAGTTTTCATAAACATTGATATGTCCACATTACTGTTGTATGCCAAGTTTTAAGAGGAGCATCCCTGTCTTGTTCCAATTTTTAGATGAAATGCTTTCAACTTTTTTTTCCATTTAGAATGATGATGGCCTTGGGTTTAGCATATATATCTTTTAAAATGTTGAGGTATTTTCCTAACTCCTAGCCTAGTTTTTCTAGTGTTTTGGACATGAATGGATGCTGTATTTTTTCAAATGCTTTTTCTGCATCTGTTGAAATAAATCATGTGATTCTTGCCTTGAAGTCTACTAATGTAATGAATTACATTTATCCATTTCCATTTATTGAACCTAACTTGCATCCCTGGGATGAATCCCACTTGATCATGGTGCATTATCTTTTATTATTATTATTATTATTATTATTATTATTATTATTATTATTATTATTATTTGTTCTAATAAGTTGTACATGACAGCAGAATGCATTTCAACTCACCATACACAAATGGAGCACAACTTTCATTTTTCTAGTCGTACATTAGATGCAGAGTCACACCAGTT